AGGCGGCCGGGCGCGCGGGGCTTCCTACGTCCCTCCCCCCAGGGGACGTTCCCGGGGCGCCTCCCGCGGGCCGTGAGCACCCAGGGCGGCACTGCCTTCGCTGGCAAGGAGTCGCGTCTGGGGCGGCGGGGACCGGCGCCGAGGGCCAACAGGAGGAAGCGACACCCGAGCTGAGGCCCCGAGAGGCTGTTCCGAGAAGAGGAAGCCGCGGGTGGAGGAGGTCGGAACGCGGGCTGCACCGCCTGGTCCGCCGTGATTGGCTCAGGCGCGAACACGTGACCTCCGTCGGCCCAATCAGGACTTGCCCCGGGATTTTAGCCCTTTTTGACCTCGGCTGGCCGAGAGATGATACCTGCGGTGTGACGCCCGCCATCCTGGAATCTGCCTTCACCTTGAGCTCCGCCTTCTTATGGCTGGACACGGTGGCCCCCTCGATGCCATCAGACCCTGGGGGTTCGCAGAACCAACACACACAACAACCGAGATGTTTTCTGGTTCCTAAAGATCCACCACAGTCAGCACAATGGGTGCTAAACCCAGGATGGCTCATAGGCAAGACCTCCCACTGTGAACCCTAGCACAAGACAGAGCCAGCAACCACACAGGACCGCTGGGTACACCAGCTCTCACATCCCGGAAGGTCATCCCCATGGAATGCAGAAGGGAGTTCGGGGGTCTTGCCACCTAAGAGCTGCCTTGATCACTTGGGCATAAGAATTAAGCAAGATGGCAGGTGAATGTAAAGCAATAAGGCTATGTCCCTTGTAAAAATGCTCACTGGTGAGAGGGCAATGACAGGGTCATTGATACTCCTGTCATGTTGTTGGACACGTGGGAGTCAATTCCAGTTCATAGGAACTTGATGCACTAAAGAATGGAACATGGGCCCAGTCCCGAACCATCCTCCCAAGAGTGACACTGCTTGTGTCCGTTGTTGCCGCCACTATGTCAGTCCATCTCCCTGGGGGGTGTCCTTTTCTCAGTGGCCCTCGACCAAGCATGGTGCCTTTGCCACTGACTAGTTAGGCCCTCTGGATACCATTCCCAAAGACGTGAGATGAAGTCTCACCATCCTCACTTAAGGAACATTCTGGCTTTACTTCCTCCAAGGTAGATTTGTTTGTTCTTGTGGCGGCCCGTGGTATTTTAAGTATTTGTCAGCAACATCGTAATTCAGAGATATCCATTTGCCTCTTTGCTTGTCCACTGTCCAGCATTCACGTCCATATGCAGCCCTCAAAAATGGACCATAGCTTGGGTCAGGTGCACGTGACTCCTCAAAATGACCTCTTTGCTCCTTGACACTTGAAAGAGGCCTTTTGCAGAGAATTGCTCGATCCAGGGCATGCTCTGATTTCCTGGAAACAGATTCCTAAGGGTTGATGGTGGGCCCAAGTAAAATGAGATCCTCCCAGCTTCAATCTCTTCCCACGTAGGATGTTATCTATTTGGTCCAGGTGTGAGGATTGTTCTCTTCACATTGATCTGCATGTCACAAGTTACTGATTCCTTCTATCTTGATGCCTCGATCACCTCTAGTTCAATTTGTCAGACTCCTGGCTCGGCGCACAGACTGAACAAATATGGTGAAAGGACACAGCCCTGCCTACACCTTCCCTGATTTTAAACTGTGCAGAGCCCCTGGTTCTGTTCCAAGGACTCCTCTTGGT